TGAGCCGAAGGCAGTCACTTAACCAACCGAGCCACTCAGGCGCCCTTAATGAAATAATTCTTGCATTTTAAGAAAAGCCCACATTTCAGTCATATAGGAAACTAACAATAGCATGCAATTCAAGTGTCCTTTTTCCTTGTGGACAAGATCTATTCTTAGGTAAAAGTCATAAGCAAAACCAACTCAGGTTTATTAACATTGGTGGCAAAATGTTTTAAGAGGCACAAGTCAAAGGGTGACTCAAATGATTCTATTTAAAATTGGGAATTGTTTGTTGAATTACTAGCCTGGCCAAGGTCCTGCTAGCACTGATTTTTCTATTGTTGTTTTTTTGACAGATCCAGGTTGATGAAGTCAGGAAGCTGGTATATTTTGAAGGCACCAAGGACTCTCCTTTGGAACATCACCTATACGTGGTCAGTTATGTAAACCCTGGAGAGGTGACAAGGCTGACTGACCGTGGCTATTCCCACTCTTGCTGCATCAGTCAGGTATTAGTCCCTGTTGGAAAAGAGTTTCCTATCATATAAAAGACTTTCTGCTGTAATACTCCTTTAGAGTAATGTGAAAATCAGTGAAATTGGCCTGCTGAAGTCTGATTCTCTGAGAAAAAACTTTAAAAAGTCTACTCTTTTTTTTTTTTTTAAGATTTTATCTATTTATTTGAGAGAGAGAGCCAAAGAGTACACACAAGCAGGGGGGAGTGGGCAGAGAGAGAGTGAGAAGCAGGCTCTTGGCTGAGCAGGAAGCCCGATGCGATGCGGGGCTTGATGTGAGGCTTGATGTGGGGCTTGATTCAGGGCTCAATGCAGGGCTCGATCCCAGGACCCTGAGATCTCGACCTGAGCCAAAGGCAGATGCTTAACCAACTGAGCCACTCAGGCTCCCCTAAAAAGTCTACTCTTTATTTTTCTTTTCCTAAGATTTTATTTATTTATTTGAGAGAGAGCGCACGCATGAGCAGGGGGGAGGGTCAGAGGCAGAGAGAGAAGCAGATTCCCCACTGAGCGGGGAAACCTACGCAGGGCTCGATCCCAGGACCCTGGGATCGTGACCTGAGCTGAAGGCAGACACTTAATCGACTGAGCCACCCAGGCGCTCTAAAAAGTCTACTTTTAACTTTAGCATTGTATATGGATGTAAATGGTCAGACTCTTAACCATACTCCTGCTCTAGCACCAGCACAGATGTAGCATCTTTTTTACTTTTCCACAGGGAAAAAGTAATTGTTTCTCCTTTCTCTAGCATTGTGACTTCTTTATAAGTAAATATAGTAACCAGAAGAATCCACACTGTGTGTCCCTTTACAAGCTTTCAAGTCCTGAAGATGACCCAGCTTGCAAAACAAAGGAATTTTGGGCCACCATTTTGGATTCAGCAGGTACTCATTTCCCTGAACCTGATTTTAAGTAGAATTAGTACATAAGTACACTAAATCTGTTTCATAGATCCACATTTCTCATCTCTTACCACCACTTGTCGCTGAGCTGCTGAGTTCCTGATTAATCCCACACTTCCTATTCTATCAACCACCAGATAAGATGGGTTACCTCCCATTCTAGGCAGGAGCAGGTCTGGAAGGCCTTTTTGAAGTTTTTTAATTTAAGTTTTTACTTAAGCAGTCTTTACACCCAATGTGGGGCTTAAACTCATGACCCCTAGATCAAGAGTCACACGCTTTTCCAACTGAGCCAAGCCAGATGCCCCTGGAGGGCCTTTTTGAAAATAAGCATAAAATAGTCACAGTATCAGCTAAGAAATGATTTGTTCACATGTTTGGGTAATTTCCCAGATAAACAGATGAGGATAATGTACATAGAACTAGTAAGACTGAGCAGGGAAGCTGAAGCTTTAGGGAATAACCAGCTGGTAGCTTTCTTAACTTTTTAAAGCACTTAACAGTGGTCATCTTAATAAAAGGTAGAACACTTGTTCTGTATGGGAGTGAAGAGCACTGAATTATCTATTTTTTAAATGCTTGATTTCTTTAAAAAATGGAGTAATTTTATGTATCTTTAATCCACTTTCTCCCCAAATCCTTTTTCCTGTTAAGTATTTTCACTCATGAATAACTGCTGAAGGGTTAAGAAATTAGTGCAAAACCACAGGGTATGTTCTAATGTCCACAAGTAGAATTTGTAATATGGTGATGATCTCTGCTTAAATTGTAACATTATCCAGTATACACAGACTTAGGATAAGTCTGTATAGCTTTGGTAAACCAAAGACTGATCGTGACTTTCATTTTTTCTGGGTCCTGGTTAGGCTTATTCTGTAATGATCAGAAACAGATGTTTATTGAGCATCTGCTGTGAGCAAGTTAAATTGAGTTAAACTTGTGCTTCCAGTTTCTGATCAGGTATGTGGCTTAACCATCGTTAAGTTACACTGAACCAAGCACAAAGTATTTGTATAGTTCTGCATCTGAATACCTCCTAGGCTCCAAGGATTATTCAGAATATTGTGTATCTGCTTTTGAAATAATTAAATATATTCATTAGATTTTCTTTTTTAAAAGATAAATGTTCTTGCTTATCACCTGAAAGGGGGATGGTCATTTATTTGTGTGGGGGGTTGTGGGTTTATGGTTTCTTTTCCTTGCTCTCAGATTGCAGAGTTCCATAAGAACTCCTTTTATGTACTTTTTTTGTTATCTCCTCATAGGTCCTCTTCCTGACTACACCCCTCCAGAGATTTTCTCTTTTGAAAGTACTACTGGATTTACATTGTATGGGATGCTGTACAAACCTCATGATCTACAGCCTGGAAAGAAGTACCCCACTGTGCTGTTCATATATGGTGGTCCTCAGGTGGGCATATTTACTTATTTTAATTTAATTTTATTTTAATTCCAGTATAGTTAACATACATTGTTATATTAGTTCAAGCAATTCTGTACATCACCCAGTGCTCATCCCAACTGCACTCCTTAATCCCCATCATTTATTTCACCCATCCCCCCACCCACTTCTCAGGTGGGCATATTTATATACATTGTGTGTGTGTGTATTTTTTAGATGATTTGTTTTTTAAATGTCTAATTAGTTGTTCAAGTTAAGATTTGAGCATTGTTGGACCTCTGCTGTTCTTGACTCTGGCTTATGTTCTAATTCCTATTTAGAAGTTGGATTTTGTTACATGGCTAATTTAATAAATCAGTGTCAATTTCTTAATTTACAGTAGGACTGAAATTGTCATGGGAATGGAATATTCATGTCAGTAGGTAAATGTGTTGTCTTTTATGTAAAGAAACTTGTTTGGGAAATGAAATTAAATAGTTAACTGTCTTGGTAAATAAAGAGTTTTAATAGATACTTTCAGAAGCCTTGATAGCCTAATGAATTCCACCTTTTCATTCTAAGTCTGTATCTCTCAAGCAGACTAGAATACTTTATCATCTAGTTAAGGCAACTGCTGTACTACTATTTAGCATTGTAAGAAGTTTACACCTGGATTTTCCTTTTTCTGGATTAAATATTAGCATGTGAATATTAAGTAAATCCTGTTGACTATCAGAGTAAAGTATTTGGAGTAGGGGCATTGGTTAATTGGCACTTTTTTAAAATGTTTATTGATTATTTATCTTATTGTTGGGCCTTTGAAGAAATTAGAATATAATTATACCATTTTTATAATACAGCTCTTGACTCCGTAAATATCCTTCATAATTACATCCAGTTATTCAGTATCTGGAAATGTTAGATGCTAAAACATCCAAAAAATAGGGACCCCTGGCTGGCTCAGTCAGTAGAGCACATGACTCTTGATCTTGGCTCGGGGTCATGAGTTCAAGCCCCACTTTGGGTGTAGAGCTTACTTTAAAAATAGGGAAAAAAAAGAAAAAGACATCCGAAAAATAAAATAAAAGCAAAATAACTGCATAAGCCACAAAATCTCCGCAATGGCAATCATGTATCAAGTTAAATCACTTTGCCATCGTTAAGTGTATTTTACAAACAAAACATGATTCACATTTGTATTATACTCATCTATACATAAATCATAAACAAAATTATAAACAGCTAAATTAGCCTTCTGTTAAAAACTTGAAGCCAAATCTTTGTAAACTTTTAAAAAAGTCTTGGGGTGCCTGGGTGGCTCAGTTGGTTAAAGTATCTGACTCTTGGTTTTGGCTCAGGTCATGATCTCAGGTTCATGAGATCAACCCCTACCCTGTGTCTGGTTCCCTGCTCAGCAGGGAGTCTGCTTCTCTCCCTCTGCTCATGTGCTCTCTCTCTCTCTCAAATAAATAAATCCTTTTAAAAATAAAGGCTTAATACAAAGAAATGCAAGAGAGAAATTACAAGACACTCTCAGAAATTTTACATATTTTTGTATATTATTTTGATAATAAGGCTAAGTAAGAAGGATGTTTCTCCTTTCCAGTGAAGAAATGATATATGAGATATGTGACAAACACACTATAAAGACTAACTGGTTATGTAGATCTTTAAGACTATAGAACTCCTTTATATTACTCCTTATTACTAATTATGTTTAAAAAGCCACAGGGGGCGCCTGGGTGGCTCAGTAGGTTAAGTGTCTGTCTTCGGCTCAGGTCGTGATACCAGGGTCCTGGGATCAAGCTCCACAACAGGCTTGCTGCTGGGCGGGGAGCCTGCTTCTCCCTCTCCCTCTGCACTTCCCCTGTTTGTGCTTGCTCTCTCTCTTTCAAATAAATAATAAATAAATAAAAATAAATTTTTGGGGCGCCTGGGTGGCTCAGTTGGTTAAGCAACTGCCTTCGGCTCAGGTCATGATCCTGGGGTCCCAGGATCGAGCCCCGCATCGGGCTCCCTGCTCGACAGGGAGTCTGCTTCTCCCTCTGACCCTCTTGCCTCTCGTGCTCTCGATCTCTCATTCTCTCTCTCTCAAATAAATAAATAAAATCTTTAAAAAAAAAATTTTTAAAAAAATAAATTTTTGATTAAATCTTACTATCAGTCCAAGAAATTATTATTTCTTGGTGTATGTTCAGGTCAAAGTGGGAAGCTTGATTCGCAACAGTGTTACAGTTTGTAACATGGAGTGAATTACTTTGTCACTAACTGCAGCAATGTCTATAGCTGGACGAAAGTGAAATCCAAGAAAAGCAAATATTTCCAACTAAAGTCATCTAGGCTTAGTTTTTTAAGCTCTTTATTGATAACAGCCGTATGTTTTAACAAATCCTTTTGATGTTTCCTATGTGTTAGACACTTTTATAAATATAAATGTACAAGAAAGCAAGCTAAGTGATAGCAGGACACAGGTTTTGAAGAACTGATACTGAAGGAGACTTCTGAATTCTCAGTGCCAAAGGGCATTATGTTGAAGTACCTTCCTCCAGAAGTAGCAGGCCTGTGGCTGTGAGGACACAAACACTGGCTCTTGGGGGAAATGTTCATATCAGGCAGTTGAGGTCACTTTTGTGTGTGACAACAGTTGAGGCCATTTTTGTGTGTGACAACCGACAACAGTGAAGTGCCTTTTTTTTTCTTTAAAGATTTATTTATTTATTTGAGAGAGAGAGTGAGTGCGAGCACATGGGGGTTGCAGAGCAGAGGGAAAGGGAGAGAGAGTCCACAAGCAGACTCCCTGCTGAGTGCAGAGCCAGACATGGGGCTTGGTCCCAGGACCCTGAGACCAGGACCCGAGCAGAAACCAAGAGTCGGACACCCAACTGACTGTCCCACCCAGCCACCCTGAAGTAGCTTTCTTTAAATACTCATTTTTGTGTTCTATGCCTAGTACCTCTTTTTTCAGCTCTCCCCTTTTTTGCTCCTCCTCCTAAAAGAGAAAGGGAAAACACTATTAACTATACTGGAATTAAAATAAAAAATAGGGGCACCTGGGTGGCTCAGTCGTTAAGCATCTGCCTTCAGCTCGGGTCATAATCCCAGGGTCCTGGGATCGAACCCCGCGTCGGGCTCCCTGATCAGCGGGAGGCCTGCTTCTCCCTCTCCCACTTTCCCTGCTTGTGTTTCCTCTCTCGCTGTCTCTCTCTGCATAAAATAAATAAATAAAATCTTTTAAAAAATAAATAATAAATTTTTAAAAAAGAAAGGGAAAACAGCATTCTCCTATCTCCATTTTTCATTCATTCATTCAGCAAATAGTCATTGAGTTCCAACTATGTAACAGGTACTATTCTAGGCAGTGAGGATACCATAGCGAACAAATCAAACTAATGTCCCACCCTCATGGAGTTTAATGAGGAAAATAATAAATGACTAGACATATAAATGATACAATTTAATATAATGGATGTGCTATGAATAATTATTGGGAAAGAGGATGGCAAAGAGACTAAAATGGGAGTTCTGTTAAGAAGTTCAGGGAAGGTCTCTGAGGGTACGTAAGATGAGGAGTGAACCACCTTAAAGACCTGAGGGAAGAACATTCCAGACAGAGGGAACAGTAAATGTCAAGGTCCTGGGGATTAGAATCAAGTTGGTATAGTTGATAATAAGGTTAGAGTATAGTACACAAGTAGGGATTTGGTATGAGATGAGGTCAGAGAAAAAGCCAATGGCCAGATAATATAAGGTCTTAAAAGGCAACGGTAAGGATCTTAGAATAGGATCTAAACTCTTTACTATTAGAGGGAGCTAAGCTATAAAGTCTTACGTAATTTACATTTTAAAACCATCCCTCTGCTATAGTGTGAATAGACTGTAGGAGGACAAGAGTAGAAACAGGAAGACCAGTTTGGCAGTTGTTACAGAGGTACTGAATATCCAGAAATTCAAAAAGAGAAGAGTCTCTACACATAGCACACACACCCCAGTTTATCCTAATAAATGTTCAGTATGTATTTACTGTATGAAGATGGTGTCGATTCTTATTTAAGTGGCTGATTTGGTTTTCCTGTTGGTTTCAGCCAAAAAAAAACTTCATTTTTAGGGGGCTTGGGTGGCTCAGTCTGTTAAGTGTCCCACTCTTGGTTTCAGCTCAGGTCATGGTCTCACAGTTGTGAGATTGAGCCCTGCTTGTGAGATGGAGCCCTGAATAGATCTCCATGCTCACTGGGGAGTCTGCTTGGGATTCTCTATCTCCCTCTTCCTCTGCCCCTCACCCCCCCACTCGCTCGCATGCTCACTCTCTCTAAATAAATAAATCCTAAAAAAAAAAAAGAAAACTTCTTTCATTTTTGACAGAACCTTTTTTGTCATTGTTTAACGTCTATCTTAGTGTCCACCAAACCCTGAACTTCTCTAAGTTTCTCTCTACTAATTAAAGTCCTCTTTTGGGGGCACCTGGCTGGCTCAATCAAAGAGCATGTGACTCTTGATCTCTGGGTCATGAGTTCAAGCTCCATGTTGGATGTAGAGATTACTTAAATAAATAAGAAACAAAAAAAAATGAAGTCCTCTTTTCACTAGTTTATTTCTGTTGAGGCACTAAACCACATTTAATTCCTCAGTCATTTGGAAGTATGATAGCATGATAAGTGATTTAAGAATTATCCTACCTTTTGCATTGATTTGTATAACAGGAAAAAGGAAGCTGGACTGGTCACAGTGTTTCATTAAAATACTAAATTTTTCTGCTGCTGGTCAGGGACAACCCCAGAAGAGACGAGTAGGGAAGAAAAATGATCTTATTTATTCTTGTCTCTGTAATTTGAATGACACAGTTCTTCAGAGTAGCAGTAATTATTTTAGTTACTTTTTCTATGGGGTAGGTTAAATCTCTTGTCTTATATGTAAAGAATATCTTGGTTACAGTTTTAAAGTCTTTAGTTGCTCAGTAATTGCCCTGAACCTTGAGTGTGAAGTTAAAAAAGAAAAAGAAACCACATAAACATGAGAAATTTAAGTTAATTTAAAAATAAGTCAGGGAGAGGGGGAAATAGGGAGTTGCTAATCACCGAGCACAAAGTCTCAGTTATGCAAGATGAAAAGTTCTAGAGATCTGTACAACACTGTCCTATAGTTAATGATACTATAGTGTACATTTAAAATTTTGTGAGGAGGGTACATCTTGTGATAAGTGTTCTTGCCACAAGAAAATAAAATTTCATTTTAAAAGCAAAATAATACAAAAAATTCAGGCTTTCTACTTTTCACAGCATCTTGTCTCTTTTGCTTTTTTATGCTACCATATAATACATTTCACTGAAGTTGTATTTCTTCCTCAGGTGCAGTTGGTGAATAATCGGTTTAAAGGAGTCAAGTATTTCCGCTTGAATACCCTAGCCTCTCTGGGTTATGTGGTTGTAGTGATAGACAACAGGGGATCCTGTCACCGAGGGCTTAAATTTGAAGGCGCCTTTAAATACAAAATGGTGTGTGAGCATACAAACATTTTTCTTTTATTAAAGACATTTACATTTTCTGGTTCATTGTTTGGTGTGAAATCTCAGCAAGTTGGGGGAAGGGACTGTGAGTGAGAGAGATGGGGGGAGAGAGAGTGAGAGAGTGTGTGTGTGTGTGTGTGTGTGTCCATGTGTTAGAGTTCGGGGGTGGGAGGGAAGATGCAACTTGATATGCACTAGGCTAGCTCACGTCTGCCTGTCTACCTGTGTATAGCTTTGGGGAGCTGAGATAGAACCACTTTTACATAGAAATACCCTTTCTTTCTATGATGTATATCCAGCTTAGCCAGAAAGCAGCCCCATAGTTTTCAGCATCCTGTGCCCTATTGAGAGGAATAATTGAGATTTGTTCTGTCCTCTGTGAAGAGAGAAACCAACTGGTTAGTGCCTTCCTTGTGACAAGCCTCTTTCTCTCTACAGGAAGCTTTAAATGCTACCTTTTAGAGATGCCCCATGTCCTTTCTGCTGCTTTGGGAAATGATGAGAATCCGATGTTCCTTTTACACAGTAAGGCAGTTACTGTGTTTGCCAGTGTATTGGACATGCTGAGTAAGACATGGGATTTTCTCCCACAGCCAGTTCTTTGACCTTATGTTGTATTCTCATGTAAGTTTTTTTGTTTTTATTTTTGTTTTTGGCTCAGTAAAGGAGATTGTGTGCACTGGCAGGCCTAGTAATACAGATAGGGTGGTGGTGGTAGGAATTAGGACTTAATAGGATTTAAATAGCGTGTGTTCAGTTCCTAGAAGTAGATGATGGGGAAATAGAATAAGACCTCAGGAGTGATTCCTTCTGCTTTACTGCATTAAGTTTTAAAAAGAAGTAAAATTAGTCAACCACTTAAGGGGGCTAATTTTTTGTCTTTGGGTATAGGAAGGCTTGTTACAAGGAAGATGCTGACCTCTTAGCAGACAACAGAACAAATGGAAAGGGGAAATACCCATATAGCAAGGAACAGTTTGGGTCTCAGTAGGAAAGAACTTTGTGGCTAAGGGGTAACTAAACTCTAGGACTGGCTAGCAACAGAAGCTATAGGCCCCTATCTCTAAATAGAGTTAAAAAAATTTTTTTCGGGCAACAGATTCTCAATCGATAATGAATTATTAAAAAATACTACAGGTATTTTTAGTGAAAACCATTTATCAGCTTTAAAAACACTCTGATAATGAGACTTTATTCATCAGAATCAGTGAAATGTTCTCCCTTTTTTGACAGGGTCAAATAGAAATTGACGATCAGGTGGAAGGACTCCAATATCTAGCTTCTCAATATGATTTCATTGACTTAGATCGTGTGGGCATCCATGGCTGGTCCTATGGAGGATACCTGTCCCTGATGGCATTAATGCAGAGGTCAGATATCTTCAGGGTATGTGGTTTCCTATTTTATTTCTTTTTGCAATAGGGGTAGAATTTTCAATAAATTGAGGATATGAGAAAGTGCCTATTTTCTGAAGGTTTACAGAGTTGGCAATATTATGGAATGTTAGGATTTGTGTATCTAACAGTCATGTGAGATAATAGATGTATCTTGTCAACTTGTGATAGCCATGTGAGATATATATGTACATATCTATCTATCTATATATTAAAAAACACTTGTCAACTTGATGACCAGTTGTTGGCTATTTATAGACATGCCAAAGATTATGGGAGATAGTCATGATTAGTAAAACACACACGCACACACGTGCGCATATTGGATTGTAATTACTTATTTAATTGCTGGACTGCAAGCTCTGATGTCAGGGACTTGCCTGCCCTTCACATCACTGTATCCTCAGTAGCCAAGCACAATGAATGGCACATAGTAGGTCTTAAGTAAATCTTTATTGAATGAATAACATATTAAATATATAAATGACGATTACAACTTTATAAACAACTTCCTAGAGAAATATGTTAGAAGGAAATAATAAAGATGCCAAAAGTTGTTAAGAGAATGGCAATTATGAAGTGTTCTTCTTTACTATTTCAATAACGTGATTTTTTCTTGCAGTGAAAAATAATTTTAAGAATGAAAATGATAGGGTTTTTGTTCTTGCATGTATATTCAGATAATCTTTATAATAACCACAAAATAAACTCTGAAAACTGCCATAATTTTCCCAGGCTTGCAGCTGTCAAGAAAGTAATTAGAATATTTAAGTATAAAACCGTGAGTGGGAACCTTAAAATGAGGAAAGTGTTTAGTGCTTAAATATATTTCATTCATTGTTAAAAATTCTGTACTGCCAGCAGAGGCTAAAAGAGAAAAAAGAAATGACTGCTTTTCCTATATAAAGCTGACACTTGTCACACTTTTTTTCCCCAGCAGCAGGAATGAGTTTACACTGAGGCATTCACATGTTCTAGTTCAGTCTCCCCTTTTAACAAAGGGGCCCCAGTGTATATTTCAACTAGCCCAGGTTAAGGGTTTGATATGTGGCATGCCTGTGGAACATGAAGCTCACTGACTCACAAAGTATCAAATTCTTGACCTTGGCACTCCACTTTGATTTTCTGAGTTGCCTGAGACCATGTATGCCCCAGTTGTGGGGCTAAAGCCTAAGGATAATTTTAGCCTATAAATTTGCAGTTACACGTTCTCGTTGCTAGCCATTCTTTTTTGGACCACACTTGACTATTATTGTCTTCTGTAGGTTGCTATTGCTGGGGCCCCAGTTACTCTGTGGATCTTCTATGATACAGGTTACACAGAACGTTATATGGGCCACCCTGACCAAAATGAACAGGGCTATTACTTAGGATCTGTGGCCATGCAAGCAGAAAAGTTTCCCTCTGAGTAAGTTCAAGCTTTAAAATTCAGATTATAAATTTAAAATTATAGTGTTAAAATTTGTCTTTAATAACAATGAAAACTACAAATACTGCAAAACCAAGACTAGTATTTTAAAGATTTTATTTATTTATTTGACAGAGAGAGAGGGAACACAAGCAGGGGGAGTGGGAGAGGGAGAAGCAGGCTCCTCGCTGAGCAAGGAGCCCGATGCGGGGCTCAATCCCAGGACCCCGGGATCATGACCTGAGCTGAAGGCAGACGCTCAACGACTGAGCCACCCAGGCACCCCAAGACTAATATTATATAGACTACTCAAATGGCATGGCTATTTCTCAAAGCTGAATTACAGGCCAGTTCATCTAACCTGGTTTTTTTTACAAGTTATATTTGAAGCAATTACTGTGCTGAAAGAAGTAAACTATATAACTGTTTCAAGGTGGAAAAAATTCTCTTTCTGCTTAAATATATTCTATAGACAATGTTTATGATTTTTCTTTCCCTAGGTACATGCTATGATTATTGATAGATGCTAATATCATCATAAGAAATAGAACACATAATTTTTCATTATATGTAGTATCTGGTTACTATATTATAAATTTATTATTGAAAATGTTGAATTCTCGGGGCTCCTGGATGGCTCAGTCATTAGTCGTCTGCCTTCGGCTCAGGTCATGGTCCCGGAGTCCTGGGATTGAGCCCTGAGTCGGGCTCCCTGCTCGGCGGGGAGTCTGCTTCTCCCTCTCCCACTCCCTCTGCTTGTGCTCTCTCTTTCAAATAAATAAATAAAATCTTTAAAAAAATAAAAATAAAAAAACAAAATACTGAATTCTTATTTTAATATTACATTATAAGGAAGTTAACTATTATTAACTATATTACTATATAGTTATATTTGTTTTATGTAATTGTATATTATATAACTATATATAGTTGTATGTGTTACATAACTACAATATTAACTAATAGTTAATTGTGATCAGAGGGGTTAAGTGGTTTTCCCAAGTACTCTATTTTGCCTAATCCTGTGATATTTCCATTTCTCTAGACCAAATCGTTTACTACTTTTACATGGATTCTTGGATGAGAATGTCCATTTTGCACACACCAGTATATTACTGAGTTTTTTAGTGAGGGCTGGAAAGCCATATGATTTACAGGTGAGTTCCTCATTTTCTGACTGAAGTAAGTAGTGATTAGTGATTGATTACTTTGAAATATAATAACCTATGGAGTAGGGCTGAATTTTCAGCTGTGGCCACTCTCTGCTTAAAAGATCTAAAGTCATAGGCATAGTTAGTAGTGCCTCTGGTTGGGTAAAAATTAAGATTTTGTTGAAGTTGGGCTAAGAACTGGCCTATTGAATTATATAACTTGTGTATCTGTAACTGCTTTCAATTTGTAATCATGGAAAAGATGACAGGAGTCCATTCAGTATCCCCTTTGCTTTTCTTTACATGGTCTTTTAATTTTTATTTTATATTGACATTGGAATAGAAAGCCACAAGTTAACCACCTCTATTGCTCCATTACTCAAAAAAAGGTTTTAAAAGATAACTTATTCGTTTCTTCCACCTTTGTACTTCTTTCACAGATTATGTGCTCATAAGAAATGAAAAATACTACTTTTCCCTCTTTTATGTTTCAGTTGACATTTACGTAGATAAACTATGAGCTATTTGTCTGTAGCAGCAGTTTTCAAGCATTTTGGTCTCAGGACCCCTATGCACACCAAAGAGCTTTCATTTATGTGGGTTGTGTCTTTCAGTATTCCCATAAAAGATACTAAAACTAAGAAAATTTTTGTTTTGTTTTTTTAAAAGTTTATTTAAGTAATCTCTACACCCATTGTGGAACTCGAACTCACGACCTGAGATCAAGAGCCACATGCTCTTCCAACTGAGCCAGTGAGGTACCCCCAAAACTAAGAAAAATTTAAAATATTTTTTAAAAAACAGTAATAAACTATTATGTGTTAACACAAATCACAGTTTTTGTGGGGGAGAAAAACTATTTTCTGAAACAAAAAAAAAAATAGAGAAATAGCATTGTTTTCTTACATTTTTGTAAAATCCCTTTAATGTTTGACTTAAGGAAGACACCTGGATTCTCATATCTGGTTCCACATGCAATCTGTTGGGAAGTGTTGTTTTGGCTAAAGTATACAGTAGTTTCCCATTATGTGCAGTTTTGCTTTCTGAGGCTTCAGTTAACCCTCAGTCAGCCGAGGTCCAGAAGCAGATGATCGCTGGGACGCCTGGATGGCTCAGTCTGTTAAGCATCAGACTCTTGGTTTCTTCTTAGGTCATGGTCTCAGGATTGTGAGATGGAGCCCCATGTCGGGCTCCAAGCTGGATGTGGGGCCTGCTTAGAATTTTCTCTCTCCCTCTGCCCCTCCCACCGCACACACTCTCTCTCTCTCTCTCAAAAAAAAAAAAAAAAAAAGAAGACACATATGATCCTCTTTCTGACATAGTGTCCGGTCACTAGTGGCCCTAACACTATATCACAGTGCCTGTGTCATTCACTTCACTTCATCTCATCACGTAAGCACTTTATCACCTCACATCGTCCCAGGATGAACGAGCAATAGTACAAGATATTTTGAGAGAGAGAGACCACATTCAGGTAACTTTTATTATAGTATGTTGTTATGATTGTTTTATTATCAGTTACTATTTTTAATCTCTTACTGTACCTAATTTATAAACTAAACTTCATCATAGGTATGTATGTATGGGGAAGAAACAGTATCTATAGGGTTTGGTACTATCCGCAGTTTCAGGCATCCAATATTGGTCCTGGAATGTGTCCCCTGTGTGAAGAAAATTCAGCCTCACAGAATATGTAGTTAGGAAAGGGGAGGAATATGTTAGCTTTTACAGATAATTGTGGATATTCTTGGAAACTACCCCAAAACTGGACAGATCTTAGTTTCTTAAAGGTTAGTTTTAGTGTGGAATCTGACGCCATATCTAAAACATTTCATACTGTCTTACATTAAAATATGTTGGATCTTGTACTTCTGATGGATCTTTCACACATACATGGGTCATCTGGAAAATATTGCTTCACTGTATAACATCAGTCTTCTCAGTATTGACTGATTTCATTATACAGTATTTTTAAAATCACATATATTAATATTACACCCCTGATCCCATCAGAAGTCTGTAAGTTTGGGGAAGCTCATGAGCTAGTAGTGGTAGATGCAAGTTTTCCAAAATTCTAATTTTTACTTAAAAGCTCAAAATTTATCATTGGCGACGAATATTGTCAGTGTTGTCCTTGAAGTGACCAGCTCACTTCATTCATTTTTTAAGCAAATGTTTGCCAAATACCCAAATCTGAATCACCATAGTTGTCAGTCATTCAAGTTGAAAATGGGAGTTCCATTTAAGAAGTGGTAGTTTGGCTTGCAACTCCATTTCATAAGTGCTTTTCTTTTAGACATCCTATAGCAAAAGTGCTTTCTGCTTTCTTCCCATTTATCACCACAGAACATGTAAAAAGACATCTATTCAAGGGTTGCAATTTAATAAACTTTTGTTTTTTACCACACTACATGTGTGGTAGTGAAGAATACAGTGACATCCAGTACAATTGAATGTCACTGCCTTGATTCATGCTAAGGCACTGGAACTGTTACCCATCATTGCTTTTGCATTATTAGTGCAAATGCCAACACAGTGAATAAAGGCAAATTGTTCTGAAAGTGGTTTTGACCTGTGTATACCTCGAAAGGCTTCTGAGGATCCCAGAAGTCTCTAGATCACACTGGGAGACCCAGTGACCTATAGATAAATCCTTCCGTAAGCCTTGGGGTGTATAAGGAATGATAAAAAGCGGGGAGGGGCCTTTATATTGGATATATGTGTGTAATATCTTGGAGAGGCTGTGCTCCATATTATTGATCCTGTTGAAACTCTGTGGAAAACTTTGGAAGGAAATGAATTATTAAATTCTCACTTTCTGTATTTTGATTTTTGTTGTTGTTTAAGATCTATCCTCAGGAGAGACACAGCATAAGAGTCCCTGAATCTGGAGAACATTATGAACTGCATCTTTTGCACTACCTTCAAGAAAACCTTGGATCGCGTATTGCTGCTCTGAAAGTGATATAATTTTGACCTGTGTAGAACTCTGGTATACACTGGCTGTTTAACCAAATGAGGAGGTTTAATCGATAGAAAACATGGAATTGATCATCACATTTTGGTACCTGCCACATAACATCTACTTCTGAAAGTATATTTGGTGCCATTGCAGGCATCTACAGCTTGTGGGTAGTAATCTAATACCTTAACCATACACATACAAAATTGAACGACATATTTCTAAAGGACCCAGCAATACCATGAGAATTACTGAAAGAAATAAGACATTAGCACCATGTATCCATACTACCTTATTTTCACTTCTTAATAGCATTATAAACCTCATGGACTTAATTAGTGTATTTTTACAGTATACTTCTGAGTTTGTTAAAATATGATGATATTAGTGATTGGTTTGGTTCAATTCCAGAAACTCTGACTAGTTACAGATTTGATAGCACTTAAACGTAATTGAATAGCTTACGCTTCATTGCTTGGGGTGTATCCAGCATGTTATGAACTAATCACTATTAAACCTATGACTTAACCAGTCATTAATGATTTTTCAAGGATAATTTAGTGGCCTCCTAAAAACACTTATTTTGTTTCACTCAAGCTCTGACCAATTTTAGCCAATTTCAGCTGTATCTAGTATAAATAGTTTTCTCTGATGATATGACAGAGTGGGTTTTTCCTTTCATAAAAAGGCAAGTAACTGTACATGTAGCATGGTTTAATTAGTCTTATAATATTGATAATTACAGGCAGAAAAATTTTAATCAAATGGTTAGAGCTTAAATATTTGCAGGCAATTTCTTCTCCTTTAAGAAAAGAGAAAAGTACGCATTAACTTGTACTCTTCAGAAAATTTAGTGGGGCCAGTTTCCATTGGGTATTTCCTTACTGAAATGTTCCAGAGTTCTAGGGTGATGGAAGGGAATCATGGTAGGGTGGGAGATACCGGGAGTGGTTAATGACAGGGAGAAGAAAAGGAGAGGATCTGCTTAAGAACTAAGTAGAAGTAAAATTTGACCAAAAATCCTCATGAAAAAGTTAGGGGGGTGAAATTTAAACTGCTAGAATGTTAGTTAAGGAAACCAGAATGAAGAATCACTGTCTTGCCAACACAGTTACAGACTAACATTATTCAGGGAGGAAAAGTTCCTTATTTTTCTAATTCTCATTTTTTGTTACTTTCATCTTAATTTTGGTAACCTTACAAATTTAAACATTTTAAATTATTTGAACATCATTTAGATATTGTGAGCTTAAAGTAAAGAGGTTTCCAAACCACCTCTTCACCATAAACTGATCCCAGGCAAGCCATGGCTCTATTTTTAAGTGTTCAGAGCCTCTAAGCAATGTCTTAAATGACCATGACATTTTCCTGGTTTAGCCCTAGCAGTCAACTGTTAAGGGAGCTCATAGGCTTTCAGGTGCTGATTGGAATCTGTCATCTTAGAGTCTTGGGGTGTTGTTGGGTCACATTGCCAGCAGTAGGGAAGGCACCTATGAGTTTGACCCTTTTTATCACAAGCCTCAGTGTTTGGAAAGTTGTTTCCAGTACTTTTAAACAACGCTCTAAGAAAAATTGCTCTTTTTCTTTCTCACCACTACGGAGAGTAGATTTCTCCCATAGAGAGCACAGCCTCCATTAGTAAGGGTGATGACTGTGCATCAGAGGTGAATTCATCATTGAGAGCCAGGTAGGAGGTGGGTGAGGCCCAGAAATGGCAGGGTGACCTGGTGGTTCTGTCCTTGGGAAGGGGATTGGGTTTTGCTGTTTGTGTATTTATACTGTATCATAGGTACCACACTTTTCCTTATTGTCTGTGTATGTATTGATTTTCTTGTTTATGATATTTTCCCATGCCAAGGTGTGTTTATATTTTTTTCAATGTTAAATTAAATTGATTTGGGTAATTTTTCTTCCCAAGAAAGTATTTTCCCCCTTGATTTAACTATATCTCTGACTATCGAAGGTGGTTTTTGTGATCTGATTGGCCTCCAGGGATCTATCCTTATATAATATGCAGAATGGAGATGGTAGACAGTGGTTTTTAGACATCTCCTCATTTGAAACCTCTCACCCGTTAAGGCTGTTTCTTCAAAATGGCATCTCTCATTTTACCAAAACAAACCCGAAAGAACCTCAAGTACTCTTGAATTCACCAGTGTTTTCCTTTTGCATCTTGCCTGTCCTTTCCTCATATGACAAGGGATGCCTCTGTTATAATCCCCCGTTCATTAAATGCCATTCTCCTTCTATAGGGGGAAAATACGTGACTGAATTCAGGTGCAGAAAGACAGTTTGATGAGTTTCATTTTAAAAACTGACATGGAAAACATCATAGTCATTTCAAGCAATCAGTAGAAATCTCACTAAAACTCTTTGTACCCTGTCTATGGGTAACATCTTAAAAGGCTAAGAGTATATAAAAGTAGCAATACTTTTTGGTAAGAGCCAAAAAGCACTGGTTTAAACATCAAATGGGGTGGGTTTTACAGACTTGATAAATAGGTGCACTTGAGCAACCATCAACAGGTATAGTTGCTTATGCATTGTTGAGCAGTGGGACTCAGAATCTAAGATTCATCTGGGATGCTTATTACTAAAAAGAAATGCAGTCTTAAATTTACTCTTAGAAGTTTGGATTTGGTTGATTTGGGTGGAGACCGGGAATCTGCATTTCTAACAGCCTTTCCAGGGTGATTCTAAAGTTGTTTGTGGGCTACTTTCACAAAGTCTTCTGTAGAGAATGGAATCGGATTGAAAAAATAAGAGGTGATTTTTACACTGGACTAATTTACAAACACCTAAAGCAATAGCCAATGTAGCTGCTCATCTGTGCTCACTGTTGGGCCCTTCTCATTCTGAAGGAAGCAGAAGGTATCGTGAACTGTGTATCCTCTTTGGGGATTCATTTTGGAATGAAGGTTCTTCCCTCGATGTTGTAGCTGGCTCATTTCGAAAGCCTCATACCAGAGGATGAAGTCACAATGCATGCATTACTTTTTAACAGGTTGAGATATAGATACTGATGCTTACTTTTTTTTACTACTTGTTTTATTCCTTACAGAAGGTGTATCCCACCTGTCTGTAACATAATTCTCTCTTTAGGTGGAATGACTCCTGTAAGATCTCTCACTATTGTAGAATCACAAATTTTTCAAGCTATTATTATCTTTGATATAACCTAATGTTCTCATTGGTTAGAGGAGGAACCTACATAGAGAGGAGAAAATATACCCATGGCCATGCGGCCAGTTAGTGTTCAGTTGGTACTAGACTCCATCCAGATGCCCTGACTCATGGTAGCTTAAATGATATGTAGAAAAGGCAAATTTTTAAAGAAGTATTTATTAATATATTCCTATGAAACATTTTAAAGATAACATAAAATGGTTAATTTTTCCATTCTAAAGTAAATGCTAAGCATGCTTATTAATGAAGCAGTACTTCTAATTAGTATATGACATTCTGAAGTTAAAACTGTTACACTAAATGTGTCTTCCTAGTAGTGGGGGATTTGGGAATTGGGATATAGAATAGAGTGCTTGCTTAAGCCTGGGAGCCTAACTTAGAGCTATTTGAAGTAAAAAAAGAGACATGGCCGTATCTAAATTAAGAGATTGCAGGTGAGTGTCCATTCCCAGCAGACATAAAGGAATAAGGAAACTTCCCTGACTCCCACTTTCCCAACCCTACCTGGCCTCACCTCTCCGTCTTGCAGCCTACAATATGGAGACATGTCAGTGCAAGGGTACTGGCTCCTGCTTTTCTTATTTTGTCAAGAGACAGTTCTGGGTAATCCTTTCAGAAGTCCCTCACAGAGGGAAAAAGTAGTATTTGTATGTTTATTTTTGAATAACCCAAATACAAATTTATGTTGTATTCAGCACAATTGGAGTTCAGGTGTTTAATTTTGGAACATGAAGTGCCTGCTGTTTTAAGCATTGACTTGTATAAAAGGAATTGCATGTCTCACTCCAGTAAGTTTATGGGTTTTCTCATTTTCAGCTACATGGCTTTTAATCATGTAAAGTGAAACATTAGTTTTGTTGCATTTTATTACAGGTTCTTTGTTGCAATAAAGATGCTGCTACAATTAATTGATGTAAATGTTCCTTTCCCCCTACCCCTTCCCTATTTATACAGTCTTGCCTTGATTAGTGGCAACTGTGGAGTGATTAATACACACGAACAAGGTCATGTGTTTGCAGTGGAGAAAGGAAGACTGCAAGGTGATTACCAGGGGTTTCCAGTAGAAACACCAGCCAAAAATGCATCCGAACCCAAGGGGAGGTGTGCAGGGAACGGTTCTGTGCCTCCAAGTGGTTCCCAGCAGCCGGCCGTTTGTACTGCAGGGGCAGGTGGTGCCTGGAGCCAGTGATTAGCATGTCCTTCCTGAGCAGCTGGGATTTTCTCAGGGATGCTACGTGGAGTTTCCAAAGAGTGGTCTCTGCGTGCTCCCTGGGAAATTTCAAGGAAGTTCAGTGTAACACTTTTTGCAGAGGTTTCTTTGACAGTTCTCTGGTCTGTTGAAGCTGTACTGGGGAAGGGGGAGAGAGAAGCAGATGAACCCCTCTAAAATTAGGAAATTTGGGGTTTGTCTGATAATCCTTCCAGCACAGGCACTTAATCTGGATTCTCTAACCCACTGAAGTGGTATGCAAAATATTGCTTGGCAATGTTTTGGAAGTGCATTCTGGGGAGAAAGGCTTTGGCTTCTCCAGATTCTCAAAGGGAGGATGATCCCCCAAGAAGAACCACTGCTGTATTAGCTATTAGGTTTGTAACCTTTTAATTTTTAAACATTATTAATTATTTTTTAATGCCCCCTTTATTTATTTGGGAGGGAGCGAGAGAGCATGAGCAGGGGGAGGGGCAGAGGGAGAAGCAGACTCCCCGCTGAGCAGGTAGCTGGATGTGGAGCTTGATCCCATGTCCTGGATCATGACCTGAGCTGAAGGCAAACGCTCAACTGACTGAGCCACCCAGGCGCCCCAAATGCCCCCTTTATTTAAGTACACTCTACCCCCAATGTAAGACTTGAACTCACAACCCCAAGATTGAGTCGTATGTTCTAGGGACTGAGCCAGCCAGGCGCCCCAGGGTCTTAAACCTTTAATTTGTATACAGAAATTATTAGAAATAAAGATGATTCTGGGGCGCCTGTGTGGCTTAATTGGTTGAGTGTCTGGCTGGATTTCAGCTCAGGTCGTGATCTCAGGGTTGTGGGATGGAGCCCCAAATTGGGCTCCACACTCAGTGGGAACTTTGCTTCTCTCCTTCTCCCTCTTCGTCTGCCCCACACACACAAATAAATAAAAAATACATCTTAAAAAAAATAAAGATGATCTTTAAACAGGGCAGTGCTATGGACCAGTGCTTCCTAACATTTTCACCTCATGACACACACACAAGAAGGCATTTGTATGACGCTTTGGGATAGACAGGCAGACTGGGTTAACATCTTGAGGCTGCTTGCAGCACGAAGTGACCAGTGAGACCCCCAGGCTCTGAAGCATACATATAATTTCATTTATGGCACTCCAGTTGGGAAACAACTACCTTGGTCTCTCTCTTTTTTTCCCTTAAGCTTATTTATTTTTTTTAATAATCACTACACCCAAAGTGGGGCTCAAACTCATGATCCCAAGATCAAGAGTCACATGCTCTTCTGACTGAGCCAGCTAGGCACCCCTTCCTTGGTGTCTTTAATTCAGCTTAGATCTTTTGCTAATCAAAAATCAGAGGTTTCTAGGGTACCTGGCCGGCTCAGTCGGTAGAGCGTGTGACTGTCGATCTCTGAATTGTGAGTTCGAGCCCCATGTTGGATGTAGAGATTACTTAAAATCTTCAAAAAATAAAAATTTAAAAAAAATCAGCTTTCAACCTGGCCATAAACATTCTGCAAATACTGTGCTGGAGGTGCAGACATCCCAGTGGCTCTAGGGCTCCAGGGCACCAGAGTCCTATCAGGGCCCTGAAGCCTTTGGATTTCCCTCTGGCTTAACCTCACCCACTCGGGTTACGAGGAAACAATGATTGATCCCTTGGTGTTTTGAGGGGGTACAGTTGAAACAACTGCAGTATGAGAATCTCATGATCGTAATTTTATTTTGGGCTTGGAGGGATTTCAGGAATTACCAGGGTTTAAATGTTCATCAGCCTGGTTCTGTCCACAGCTCTGGTGCCCTCGCCTTGCCACCCTGAAAGGGGTTGAGTTCCC